TAAGTCGAGTTTAGATTCATAAAGATTTGTACGTTATAAAGTTTACCTAACTACAGACTTTAGTGATGTACGAAAGCATCTAAGTGACTGACTTATATTAAAACACAAGAAAAATTACTAAAAATTACACTAAAAACATACGAAGACTTTAATATGACTATGTACTTTATCTAGTTACATTAGGAGACAAAATCAATGTACCGAATATTTGTAAACACGACTCTGGCAGCTCGAGATTCACCACCAGTCACTTACTTGTACATTGCTGCAATAGCTACAGAAACACCCCCCCCCCCCCAACATCACCCTGCACGTATTGTCAAGTTATATCTCTTTATAACTTAATTTTTTATTGTCTTGTGTAATTACCAAAATAGTGGAGCTTATAGGTGTTAGCTGTTGAAGTGCAGAAAAACATAATAGATTCGGTATCATACGAGGCTTCTTATTTACTTAATAGTGCGTAAAGTTGACACCAGGGCGTCTTAAGTGTTATTTCTGTACCTTACAATATTGTACCGTTCATTATGTTATATATTTATCTAATTATTAATTATTATTATTATTATTATTATTATTATTATTATTACCATTACTATTATTATTATTATTATTATTATTATCATCATTACTATTATTATTATCATTCATAATAGTAGTGAGTATAGTAGTAGTACAGTATGTGTCCACCAGGTGCCGTGTGGGGGATCATATCCCTGTCTCTCCCCCCCCCACCCCCCCGGCAGCAGCTGACTGACGCAGTTCTCTTTCTGATCCTTTTTTTTTTCTCTCTACCAACACAAAAAGACGATGACGCCGACACACTGCCTCATAAAGGTGATAGTGGTTGAAGGACGATTATCCCACTGGACGATGTACCCACTACCTCAAGAAAAGAAATATTGGAGGAAAACGTACTGTGAACTGCATAATAACCTGCGAACTCGTACACACACACACACACACACACACCGGATGTGACCACAACTCCGCCTTGTCTACCGTAAGGATACAGGCAGATACGGGGACCGGACGCCTCTCGCTCGGCCTGCCTGACGTGTTCCTGGGGAGGGGGAAGGGCTTGTCCTGTCTCTGCTGGGGTGGGGGGGGGATTAGGGAGACGCGAAAAAGAGGGAGGAGGGGATAAAAAGAATAGTTGAGGGATGAGGGACATGAAGAGAGGAGGAGGAGGGATTGGAGTGACGGAAGTGGCGTGGGAGGGGACGGGACCCCAGTCAAGGATGGATGGGGAGAGAGATGGGATTGGTGGAGCAAAGAAGAATGGGGAAGGGCGTGGAGGGGTGTGCGGGACACAGGGGTGAGGAGGAGGGTGAGGATTGGTTGAGGGAAGGAACGCTGGAGAGAGAGAGAGAGAGAGAGAGAGAGAGTGTGTGTGTGTGTGTGTGTGTGTGTGTGTGTGTTTTGTGTGTCCCTAGGTATCAACAACAAAAGGTCTTGGAACACGTAGCCAACACTCAACCAGTTAATTCACTTGACAACAACAACTATCCACCATTGAGGTTATAAATATCTCTGCTTTGGTAAGTTGTATTGTTGTTGTTGTCATGTCGGGTATTTTTGTGCCTCAACAATTAAGTAATGTAGTTCATACACTAGACAACAACAATTAATATATATGAGCTTGAAGTTGACCATAACACCAGCACACTTCCCAGTAAGGTTGGAACTTTCATTTTATACAGATCAACACACAAACTTCATTAAATTAGTAATCAATAGATGAATTAATGAATAATCATAAAGATGAATTAATGAATAATCATAAAGATGAATTATTGAATAATTAATTAGATGAATAAGAGTCACGTGAAGGACTCATCTGTGTCGTCATAAAGAACTAAGGTCGCCAGGCTGCCAGAAATGGTCAGTGCGGAACCTTCTTGGTAACTGTGACCTTCAGTTAAAGGCTACTACACCATTTATTTTATACAAAGTTACATTAAATTCCATCAATGTTGACGTGAACACACACACTGCTACTTTGCTGTCACTCGGAATAAAGTATGACGATCATCCAGCTATGACACAATGATATGAGTTATTAAGGATGTCACCTAGGTTGGTGAGCTCTGGGGTGACTCGAGAGGCCGATACGGGACCGGCAAAGCATAAAGATAATTTTAACGAAATGACAAGAAATCAGACAATGCTTCTACTGTGTATTAAAAGATGGTGACGTAATTAATGTTATTTTGATATACAGTATCATTAGGCTTATCAAAGAGCGAATATCTTAATTACGTTTACATTTTCCCGGGAATACAAAAAATAATGCTTCATGCTCTTCCTGTAATGATAAGAACATAATGAGCCGACAGATATGAAACAATCCATATTGTTACCGCAAGCAGTACATAATTATGATGACATATAAACAAATGTTATGTTAGGCTGTAACTCACAACGTAGAGTGTTGAGATGGTTGAAGATGAGAGGCCCAGAAGGAGGTTGGAGGGTGTGAAGGGAGTTTGTTTATGTATAATTATAATCACCTGACTCAGCCATAGCTGACCAGCCAAGGGGCCAGGCTATAGGGTGGGCATTTCAGTATACCTACCCATATCTTAGAGTCAACACCTACCCTGGCTTCTCTCTAGACTTTCAACACGTAAGTTTAACTAGTACTTATTGTGTACACAGGTAGACTGTGTCATTGTTTTTGTGTTAAGATTAGACTAATGACAAAGCCATATATATTGGATTAAACATTTATGTAAGAGTGCCTATGTATGACTTATTTGAAATACTAAATGAATTGTATTCAACAGGTTTGACCGAATTATAATGTTCGTGTACGACGTGAGAAGTATTATTCACCCTCTAACCGTCTCATTGGCGGTTACACATTTATTTATGACAATAGAAAATAAGATTTGCTTCGCAGCAACTAAAAGATCAAACATGAATCATTACGATAAAAATAACACTGAGCGAATCTTAAGACCAAGATAGTGTTTTGTAAGACTCACGTTATGTGTGTGTGTGTGTGTGTGTGTGTGTGTGTGGCCACCCTATTCCACACACTTCCTGTACATTAAGTACATCCACCCATCACCCTTCATCATAACTCCCCAGGATCGCTCTCTCCCTCTCCTATCTATCTATCTATTTACCTATCTATATTTATATCTATCTATAATCTCTCTTTTTCTCTTTCTCCTTCTCTGTGTCTCTCATCATTGTCTCATGAAAAATTAGGACCTAGGAAATTCTCATCGTCTAAACTGAAAAAATTACCCTGACACTGCCTTCATCCTTGACGATAAGCTAAACTACCTCGTCACAAGACAGCCAGTGATCTCTCTAGCCCGACATTAGCCAAGTATGTAATTAAAATCTACATACCACTTATCAAGATTAATATCCTCGTTAGCTATTTAAATTGTTGTTTCAGTGTAGTTGCCTCTGTTGACAGGGTCTATGAGTTAAGTTTATCAAGAATTAGTTTATCTACTTGACAACAACTTCCACCAAAAGAGATATGGCCTAAATTCTTTATTTTAGTGATTTAAATGTTATGAATTGAATGTGATTTAACAGTAAAGGTATTTTTTTCAAGCACCGTTTATAATTGTCTCTTAAGAGTAAACATCGTTAGGAATGTACAAGTATTTATATGTTATCGACTAAAGTCATTATGTATACAATATTGTTAGTGTGTATTTTTATGTATGAACATCTAAGAACTTTTCAACACGTATACAAATCACTGTAAATACAACAAAGCAAAAATGCAATAAAATGTATCTCTGGTTATAAAGAAAAGGAATTTGCTTTAGTGTCGTTACCCCGCTGAGCTACAAGGAAAATTTTACCCCCGCTTATCATGATAATAATGGTTTAATGATAACATCTGAGTAACACAAGTAAGGGAATTAAAGCTAATGGGTATGTTGAATGAGGCTCCAAGCTTAACCACATGAACAAGCTGTACCACAAAAACCTAAGTAATGCCACAAGAATAAAAACATGACTTAAAACACATGAACAAAGACCTAAGTTATACCACATGAACAAAGTCCTAAGTTATACCACATGAACAAAAACCTAAATTATACCACATGAACAAAACTGTACCACAAAGATCTAAGTTATACCACATGAACAAAAACCTAAGTTATACCACATGAACAAAAACCTAAGTTACACCACTTGAACAAAAACCTAAATTATACCACATGAACAAAAACCTAAGTTATACCACATGAACAAAACTGTACCACAAAGACCTAAGTTATACCACATGAACAAAGCCTAACCTAAGTTACGTGGAAGGGGAGTCAGCAATGTTATTAATAGCGGCGGCAGGACACCCGGATGTTGGGCGCGGCGGACTGTGGTAGGGCAGGTCCGCCACACAGCCCAGGCACGAGGATAATACTGATACCGGACAAGCACAGAAGAGAGAGAGAGAGAGAGAGAGAGAGAGAGAGAGAGAGAGAGAGAGAGAGATATGTGGAGATAAATTTATGGATAATGGATAGATAGGTCAGATAAAGGACGTATAGATGGATAGATAAATAGATATATTTAACAAAATCGTCAGACAAGTAAAGAATGGTTTAACATATACAGTATAAATAAACAAACAATTACAAACATAAAGTCTAAGAAAAATAAGACTGTGTATCTCATCTGTACCTGGACAAGATGGAGTGAATCAAGTGAAGAACGATAATCACATCATAACGATAAGATCAGAAAGAACCCTAAATCAGGCTTCATAAGGACTAGATACATCGCACTAGTCCTCCGTCTTTAGTATATTAACTAGGCTAGTGATCACAATCTCCCAAAACGTGACAGAAGAGCTTGTAGTGGCCAAATGCCTCAAGTAGGAGCCACATACAACTGAATATTTACACGAAATACCAGAGAAAAATATCCACAATTATTGAATAGATATCAACAAACTACTTAATATTAATACAAACACATCAACTAACAACAGCACACAAACAAACAAAGGCAGTACTCACGATAGCCATTCTTAGCGAGGACTATCATGCGAGAATGGCGGAGTATACTTAGGTTCTGCACCACCAGGCTCTGAGGATAGGTTGTTCTGAGATCCTCTGTTGACAGTTCGGGCCTTTGACAGTCCTCTAGGATGAATGTGTGGAGAGAATTCCCGGTGCACAGAGTCACCTGTGTTAGTCCTGCGGTCATGGTAGTGTTGGGGTCATGGTAGAGCTGGGGTAATGGTGCTGCTGAGGTCATGGTGCTGCTGGGGTCATGGTAGTGCTGGGGTCATGGTACTGGGGTGCTGGTGGGGTTATTGTGCTCTTTGGGTCATAGTACTGCTGGGGTCATGGTGCTGGTGGGGTCATGGTGCTGGTGGGTCATGGTGCTGCTGGGGTCATATGGTGCTGCTGGGGTCATTAGTGCTGGGGTCATGGTGTTGCTGGGGTCATGGTGTTGCTGGGGTCATGGTAGTGCTAGAAGTGCTGGGATTATGTGGTCATGTTGGTGCTGGTCATGGTGGTACTGGGGTTGTTGTGCTGGGTCATGGTGGTGCTGTGTATTGGGTCGCATGGTGCAGCTGGTGCTGGGGTCGACGGTAGTGCTGGGGTCATGGTGCTGGTCTTGGTGGTGCTCATGGTGGTCCTGTGGTGGTGCTGGGTCATGGTGGGGTCATGGTGGTGCTGGGGTCATGGTGGTGCTGGGGTCATGGTGGTGCTCTGGGGTCATGTGTGTGCTGGGGTCATGGTGGTGCTGGGGTCTGTGACTGGTCGTGATCTCGGTTCATGGTGATGCTCGGTTCATGGTAGTCTTGGGGTCATAGTGCTGGGGTCACATGGTGGTACTGGTCATGGTGGTACTGGGTCATGGTGTGTAGTACGGGGTCTTATCCGGGTCATGGTGGTACTGGGGTCATGGTGGTGCTGGTCATGAGTGGTACTGGTCTGTACTAAGGTCGGTGATGTCAGTTCATGGTATTGCTGGAATCATGGTACTGGGGTGTAGTGCTGGGGTCGATGGTCGTGATCTGGTCTTGGGATCGTATATGGTGTACTGGGGTCATGGTGGTACTGGGGTCATAGTAGTGCTATGGGTCTCGCGTCTGTGGGGCTCTTGGTGGTACTGGGGTCATAGTGCAAGGTCAATGGTCGGGTTCTGGTGGTGCTGGGGTCATGGTGGTCATGGTGGTGCCTGGTGTGTGGTGGTATTGGGGTCATGGGTGGTGCTGGGGTTATGGTGGTATTGGGGTCATGGTGGTATGAGTTGTGGGATCATGGTGGTGCTGGGATCATGGTGGTGCTGGGGTCATGGTGGTATATTGACTGGGGTCATGGTGGTGCTGGGCCATAATTGGTCATGGTGGTGCAGTTGAAGTCATAGTGGTACTGGGGTCATGGTGGTCTGGATGGCGGTCATGGTGGTACTGCACAAAGTCTGGTATTCATGGTGTTATCTATCATGGTGGTGCTGGGCCATGGTGTGGGGCCATGTGGTGCTGGTCATGGTGGTGCTGGGGTCATAGTAGTGCTGGGGTCTGATGGTACCTAGGGTCATGGTAGTCTTGGTGGGGTCATGGTGGTGCTGGGGTCCTTGTAGTTATGGTCATGGTGCTGGGTCATGGTAGTGCTGGTCAGTAGTGCTGGGGTCATGGTGGTACTGGGGTCATGGTGGTACTGGGTCATGGTGATGCTGGGGTCATGGTGGTACTGGGGTCATGGTGATGCTCGGTTCATGGTGATGCTCGGTTCATGGTAGTGTTGGGGTCTAGTGATGCTGGTCATGGTAATGATCATGGTGGTACTGGGGATGTGGTGGTAGTCTGGTCAGGTCTGTGGGGTCATGGTGGTACTGGGGCTCATTGGTACCAGGTCATGGTGATGCTCGGTTCATGGTATTGCTGGAATCATGGTGGTACTGGGGTCATGGTAGTGCTGGGTGTGATATTGGGGTCATGATGGTCTTGGGGTCATAGTGGTTGGAGTTACCGTGGTACTGGGGTCATGGTGGTACTGGGGTCATAGTAGTGCTGGGATCATGATGGTCTTGGGGTCATAGTGGTGCTGGAGTTATGGTGGTACTGGGGTCATGGTGGTACTGGGGTTATGGTGGTGCTGGGGTCATGGTGGTGCTGGGGTCATGGTGGTACTGGGGTAATGGTGGTACTGGGGCATGGTGGTGCTGGGGTCATGGTGGTGCTGGGGCAGTGGTGGTACTGGGGTCATGGTGGTGCTGGGGCCATGGTGGTGCTGGGGTCATGGTGGTGCTGGGGTCATGGTGGTGCTGCTGTCATGGTGGAGCTAGATATGGTGGTGCTGGGGTCATGGTGGTGCTGGGGCTGGTGGTGATGGGGTCATGGTAGTGCTGGGGTCATGGTAGTGCTGGGGTCATGGTTGGGTCATGGTGGTACTGGGGCATGATGGTCTTGGGGTCATAGTGGTGCTGGGGTCATGGTGGTACTGGGGTCAATGGTCTTGGGGTCATAGTGGTGCTGGGGTCATGGTAATTAGGGTCATGGTGGTCTTGGGGTCAGTGGTGCTGGGGTCATAGTGGTGCTGGGGTCATGGTGGTACTGGGGTCATGGTGGTACTGGGGTCATGGTGGTACTTGGTGGTCTTCAGAGTGGTGCTGGGGTCATGGTGGTACTGGGGTCATGGTACTGGGGTCATGGTGGTACTGGGGTCATGGTGGTCTTGGGGTCATAGTGGTGCTGGGGTCATAGTGGTGCTGGGGTCATGGTGGTGCTCATGGTGGTACTAGGGTCATGGTTGGGCTCATGGTGGCACTGGGGTCATGGTGGTACTGGGGTCATGGTGGTACTGGGGTCATGGTGGTCTTGGGGTCATAGTGGTGCTGGGGTCATAGTGGTGCTGGGGTCATGGTGGTCTTGGGTCATGTGGTGCTGGGGTCATGGTTGCATGGTAATGGGGTCATGTTGGTCTGGGGTCATGGTGATGTTCGGTTTATGGGGTGCTGGAGTCATGGTGGTACTGGGGTCATAGTAGTACTGGGGTCATGATGGTCTTGGGGTCATAGTGGTGCTGGGGTCATGGTGGTCTTGGGGTCATAGTGGTGCTGGGGTCATGGTTGGGTCATGGTGGTAATGGGGTCATGTTGGTCTGGGGTCATGGTGATGTTCGGTTTATGGGGGTGCTGGAGTCATGGTGGTACTGGGGTCATAGTAGTACTGGGGTCATGATGGTCTTCAGTATAGTGGTGTTGGTATGGTGGTACTCAAAGTAGTACTGGGGTCATGATGGTCTTGGGGTCATGGTAGTGCTGGGGTCATAGTGGTGCTGGGGTCATGGTAGTGCTGGGGTCATGGTGGTGCTGGGGTCATGGTGGTGCTGGGGTCATGGTAGTGCTGGGGTTATGGTAGTACTGGGGTCATAGTAGTACTGGGGTCATGATGGTCTTGGGGTCATGGTAGTGCTGGGGGTCATAGTGGTGCTGGGGTCATGGTTGTGCTGGGGTCATGGTTGTGCTTATGGTGGGCATATGGTGGTGCTAGTGGTGCTGGTTATGGTAGTACTGTCATAGTAGTACTGGGGTCATGATGGTCTTGGGGTCATGGTAGCTCATAGTGGTGCTGGGGTCATGGTTGTGCTGGGTCATGGTTGTGCTCATGGTGGTGCTGGGGTCATGGTGGTGCTGGGGTCATGGTAGTGCTGGGGTATACTATATAGTAGTACTGGGGTCATGATGGTCTTGGGGTCATGGTAGTGGGGGTCATGGTAGTGCTGGGGTTATGGTAGCCATGGTTGGGTCATGGTGGCTTTAGGAGAGGGTTCATGGTGGTCATACCAGGTTGATTATGTAGTAATTCATTCAACAACAACGAAGTAGGATGAGGAGAAGGGAGAGGAGGAGGAGGAAGAAAAGGAGAAGAGGTAGGAGGAGGAGGAGGAGGAGGAGGAGGAGGAGGAGCAGTAGGTGGAGGTGGGGAAGAAAGAGTAGGTGGTGGTGGTGGAGGAGGAGGCGGAGGTGGAATTGGAGGAGGAGGAGTATGTGGAGGTATAAGTGGAGGAGTAGGTGGAGGAGTAGGTGGAGGAGTAGGTGTATGTGATGGAGGAGGAGGAAGAAGAGGAGGATGAGGAGGAAGGCGAAGAAGAGGAGGAGGAGAATAATTATGAACGAAACATAAGAGGACTCACCTTAGTGGCGGAGGCGGCGCTGGAGGAGGAGGAGGCCGCACTCACACTCCGGGTTCTGGGTAGCGTGGAAGACATACTGACGAAGCTCACGCACCAGCGCCTGCAACGACACACGGCTGAGTCAGACAACAGTGATTCATACAGGGTGAGTCAAATGAGTCACTTCCAGCGCACGTTCCAGGTAGCAGAGAGGAGGTGAGTCATCAGGAGGGGGGGCAGGTAGCAAGGAGGAGGAGGAGTCAGGTAGGTCGAAGAGGGAGGTGCGGAGTCAGTTAGCAAGGGACGTGTCTGGTGGAGGAGAGAGAGAGATTAAAAGAGAAAGATAAAAGAGAGAGAAAGAACGATAAAAGAGAGCGAGAGAAAAGAGATAAAGATGGAGTTGAAAATAGATATTTAGATAGAGACCATATTACCATATAGTTAAAACAACAGTATATGAAACACTCTTTAAAACTCTACTCAACAGTGGACATGAATCACTGCTGCCGCCTTAGTGAAGATAAATAGTCAAGCCAAATGTCGGAAATACAATCAAGTTCCTCCTCTGATAAGATTATACTCTATCACATAATGCTTATTGATTATATGTATTATATAGATCTTACTGTGGGTATAATAATAGAGCTTACTTATTATATATATTACTGTATATAGTTCTTATTGTGGGTATAATAATAATAGTTCTTACTTCTTACAACGCGAACCGTGCTTAATAAACCCGGCAGGTGAAGTGTTAAAAAAATACTATAACCAACATCAAGGTCAGTTAATGGTTTTAAAAGAAGTATTGGCGATTTAGTTTACATAAAAATTTAGAATATTGCTGTCAATTTGCCCGGAAGGTTGAAGTAATTTTTGTATTATATTTTGGGTACGTTTCCCTTATTTATACAACATTAATGTTTATTGTAATTATTAAGGTAAAATACGTATTTTAAAACCTTATTTGTTGAAGCTCAGTAATTCATTATAACAATATAAATGTGAAAATGTAATGATGGTGAACGAGGAAAACATTGATGGTAAACAGGGAAAATACGGATAGTGAACGAGGAAAACTCATGGTGAATGCCCCGGTATGATGTGAGAGGAAACACCGAGGAAGCATTGTTACAACTGACGTCACGCCATTTATGTTGAAACTTCTTAGTTCCACATTTTCCCACAACCCACCAGGAGCGCTGTACACACACACACACACCAAACAGGTTTCTAAATCAGTATCGTGTGAACTCTGAACCGTAGGCATGTCCCCGAAACTAAATCTTTAATATGCGTTTGGACGGATGGATAGGTAGGTAGGTAGGTAGGTAGCAGGCATGGGGCAATTAATTATCAAGTTAACTTTTGAAATAACAGTTTAACTTAATCGATATTTTGGCAAATTAATTGATTAACCGGTTAATTATCAATTAACTCCTTAGAAAAATAATATAAAAGACACCAGCCCTTGTTTCAGTGAGTGTCCAATATATTTAGCATTATAAAGTGTAATAAGTATGTGATGAAAAGTTTATTTAAACTTTAGTTATTATTATTTATTTGATATGCAGAATTCTTATCTTATCATGATATAACTTTTTCAGTAAGAAAGTCTAACTTGGTTTTGTATACTGAAATAATAAAATTATTTACATGTGAAAAACTGTTGAGTAAACCGTAGTGTGCCAGACTGCCTCACTGTTCAGGTATTCAAACTACAGTATTCATTGACTCGTTCGGAAAACATTTACAGGATATTAAGTTATTTAATCCACACGAAAATGCCCTAAGCAAATTTACCACAGACTGGTTAACTTAACTTAATCAAAAAAATATTAACGCAATAAGTTAATGTTAAAATATCAGATTAACTTAACTAGTTAAATTTGAAACTTAATCGCCCCCTGCCTGATAGATGTGTGTTCTCTCCGACACCTGGGCTAACAAGAGTTACCTCCGCAGGGTGCACAGCTATTTATAACGTGGTGGAGTTAACAGAGGATACCCTCCTCCCCTTCACTGCTCTACCCTCCCCTTCACTGCTCTACCTCCTCACTGCTCTACCCACCCCTTCACTGCTCTACTCCTCACTGCTCTACCCTGCCCTTCACTGCTCTACCCACCTTCACTGCTTCTACCCACCCCTTCACTGCTCTACCCACCCCTTCACCTGCTCTACCCACCCCTTCACTGTCTCTACCCAACCCTTCACTGCTCTACCTCCCCCTTCATCCTCTACCTCACCCTTCACTGCTCTACCCACCCTTCACTGCTCTACCCTCCTCACTGCACTACCCAACCCCTTCACTGCTCTACCCCCCCTTCACTGTCTCTACCAACCCCTTCACTGCTCTACCCATCCTTCTTCACTGCTCTACCCTTCCCTTCACTGCTCTACCCTTCCCTTCACTGCTCTACCTCCTTCACTGCTCTACCCACCCCTTCACTGCTCTACCCACCTTCACTGCTCTACCCTCCTTCACTGCTCTACCGTCCCTTCACTGCTCTACCCACCCTTCCTACTGCTCTACCCTCCCTTCACTGCTCTACCCACCCCTTCACTGCTCACCCCTTCACTGCTCTACCCACCCCTTCACTGTTTCACCTCCCCTCAGGAAGCCTTAAATCACCATGTTGAGAGCTTCCCTCCTGGTCTGCCATGATAACACCTAATGTGTCGTCCTCCTGATCTGGCGTATTTTTACACATTCCTTGCGCTCCATTACGCCCCGATAAGCTGCTATCATCTGGGGGCAAGAAGAAGCTAAGTCGACGGTAATAATATTAATCCCTGTATCTTGTAGCTGTGTGAATGTCTGAACTATATAGAACATGTTGGTTATGGGTATAAATATTTGGGTGACGTGAAGATTAGCTCCATAGTTTATTTTCACTTTATATGATCAACCTAACCTAACGCTAATGTAACCTAACCACAGCGACTAATATAACCTAACGTAAAGTAACATAACGCCCCCCCTCAATTAGCGCTAGGGTATTTGTTTGATCATCTGGTTAAATAAGCTTTATCGGGCGGGGATTGAGGGAATGGGGGGTACTAATCTTCAAGCGGCCCGATTATTTTAAATCCAACATCCGGGAAGTGGGATTAAATGCCGTACACACCACCACCACCAAGGTCCGGGAGAGGAGAATCATCTCTCTACTCTCGTGTACTAGTGACGCAAGGAACATCAAAGGGAAAGACTTGTTTATGGTAGAGATTGATGTTTATTTTCTCACATATGGAGCGTCTACCTCCCTACTTTACTTTCCTTTCCTTGCTTCACTATTTTTTCTTCCTTTTTTCTTTCTCTGCCTTCTTTCCCCTCACTCTTTTTTATGCCACCTTTGTCTCCCTTCTCTCCTTCATTCTACCCCTCCCTTCTCTTCTCTCTTTCCTTCTTTCTCTCCCTTCTTTTCTTCTTTCTTTCCTCCCTCCCTTTCATCCCTTCCTCTCTTCTTTCCTTCTTTCTCTCCCTTCTTTTCTTCTTTCTCCTCCTCCCTTTCATCCTTCTCTCTTCTCCTCCTTCCCCCTACTGCTTGGGGCCACTCTCCGTCTCACCCTGGCGTCTGGCTGGCCTCAAAAACTCTCGTCATTCTGTCATTCTTTTACTTTTTTTATTACTCCTTCCTCTTCTTTTTGTAAATAAACCACAAACTCCACTTAAGGTTCTCGAAATAACGTTAATGTTTCTTTAAGCCTTTTTGTTTTATTTTATCTCATTTATTTTGCAAATATGTTGCATTTTTTTGGATTCCTTTAGGTATTGAACACTTGTTATCCACCTCCAGTGTTACGAGATCAACTACAAGGTGTAGTCTCTATTACAGGAGGAACTACAGGAATAACACAGAAAATTACTGTACCTGTATATTAGGCCTGTAAACATATTTCACTAGTGTTGTTGCGTTGCGTTGTGTTATCAATATTTCTTGTTGTTATATTACTATCAACATCAAAGCAGCTGTAATAATAAACTGCCTTGGCTACAGTTAGTTGTCCAAGAGCTACCTATACTGTATTCACCCAAAGACTCTAACACCTGAGGAAGATGAAGAGACAGGAAGCAGAGAGGTAGACAAGGTGCAGACCCGAGTACCTTCAGGTGATCAGTTTGTCTCAGGTAACACTGGCAGAGGTCTGTACATTGGTGTTGATAAGTGACCCTAAGGTAGGTGGTGAGACACACACACACACACACACACACACACACACACACACACACACACACACACACACATAATACCGCCACCACTCCAGTGCAAGCCCCAGCAGTCACAGTGGGTGCCCATCCTCAGCTGGTGCAGTCTGCCAAACTCCTGGGTGTAACTATAGACAACAAACTTGACTGGAAGGCCCATGTAAATAACACAGTCAAGGCAGCCTCGTACCGTCTCTACACGCTACGAAGACTTAGGTCACTTGGGACACCCACGCCAGAGCTGAGGACCATCTACAACGCCTTTATTCTCCCCAAACTAACGTATGCGTCACCAGCCTGGTCGTCTTCTCTCAACTCCACCCAACAACGTCAGCTAGAGAAGGTACAGAAAAGGGCCTGCAGAATCATGCTCGGCGCAGAATACTCCGGCTACACCAACGCTCTCTCCACCCTGGAAATGCCATCCCTCAGTGACCTCCACCACCAAGCACTGGAAAGGTTTGGCCGTGGACTACTGCACCACCCTCGCCATCGCCACCTCCTGCAGCCCCCCACCCAACTCGCGCAGTCCGCCACTACAACAAAATTCAGCCCATAAGAGCCCGCACCGATAGATATAAGAACAGCACCATCCCATCTATTGTTAAAATAATAAACAACTCCTGATTTATGTACTGCACAGCCCTGTAAATGTATTCAATGCATATTATATCATTATGTCTAAATCTAATGTAAGTCTGTATATTTTCAGCCACCGGCTGCAACTCTATTAATAAACCGTTAATTATTATTATTATTACACACACACACACACAGTCCAGCCTTCATAGGGTGAGGGCGTCGGCGCTGCCCGTGGTCTCTTGACCATGGAGACAGCTGCCAGCCTGGTTTGTCGGGCACTCCCTTTCCCCATTTCCTTTTCCCCATCTGGATTTATCAACATCTTCCCACC